CACGATCTAAGCATCGAGCGACGTCGGTGCCTATACGAGAATGAGCGCAAGGCGCTGGGATTCCCCAAGTACCGCCATGTCAACTGCATAGCCGAGTGTCATCGCCACAGTACGCTCTTGTACTGCAACTGCACACCATTCTTCTTCCCCACCGAAGGTGTGGACCGATTATCATTCGCTCCTTATTCGAAATGTGGATGAAACAAGTTGATGAATGTGTCCATTGGCGGATTTTTCTGTCACAGAGTAGATCTTAAGAAAATTTTATTAATTTATTTAGTGTTCTGTCTGACGACAGGTCCATATGAACAGGATCCTTCCATCCTTTTCTCGGACTGGGACCTGTTCATATACATTCTTGGCAGATTATCCAGAAGTGGTTTGCCATTGTCTTCTTCTGTGTGTGAATGGAGTAATTGTTGGGATGCCACGGAGAAACCGGGGAAGAAGCCCCCGGAGGAAAACTCCGTGTTGCCTAGACCACGGCCTTGCCCAACACAAGTTATAAATTCGGGCACCGCGGGTAATCGAACCCTAGACCTCAGGATTACAAGGCCAGCGTTCTAACCGCTAGACCACCGTGGCTCTTAAGAAAATAGGCTGTGTTAAGAATATATTTTGTTTAACAAACAAATATCGGCCGTTGCCCAAGTGAACGAAAGACAATTAACTTATTCTTCTGTTCTCAGGGTACCTGCCAGTGTGCGACATTTTTGGGCTTATATGCTTATCGGAATTCAACGGTAAGTTCCAGAATATCTTCTCGCTTACTCCCTTCTGTCTTCCGTACAGGCCAATGTTATTTATTTCGATACAGCTTGTTTTAAAAGCTGTTCAGGAGAAGAACGAACACCTTAGCCAGTTGAATGCAAACTGACTTCAATTTTCGGTAGAATACATCGCGATTTATCTAATAAACTAACCATTATTTATCAAAGCTAATATAGGAGTAATGTAATTTATTACAGATATATTTAATTACGAAAAGCCTGAAAGAGACAACCCTTTCTTCGATGACGGACAGGATGGAATGGTCTGCAAATGCGAACCCGACTGCGACCGGATGGAGTATACGTCAGAGTTCTATGTAACCCAAGGGTAAGCTTGCTTCTGGGTTAAAATGCATCCAGGGTTGAGTATACACTTTTGCTGTTATGGCATTGGAGTAGCGATAAAGTGGAGAATTGCTTTGTTTGTTTCCCGTTACACATTTTGAATAAACACACGAATTTCCATAAAATATGATATGAACATTACGTCGCTAGATGTCATTCCGTTTTCGCACTTTTCAGTTTTTATAAATTACCAACATGGTGGCTGTGTGAACGTTTGAGTTTCAAGCAACACTTAGTGCTACGTATTGGTAGAGCTATTACATTTGATGCTGTAAAAGATATAGGAAAAACTCGCAACTTTTGTTGAGATAGTATGTTCGCAGATTCACGAGTAGTAGGTGTTTCGTGGTGAGGGATGTTATAACAAGAGACCGCGGAAACCTGTATAATGAGAAGCTTCATAATTGTACTCTTTGCCACACATTGTGAGGATGACCAAATCCAGAAGGATGCTATAGGCGAGGCATGTAGCACGCATGGGAATGATAACCGCATGAAAATGTTTGGTCGAGAACCCTGAAAGGAAGGGGCCACTTGGGAGGCCCACGTTTAGATTGGATGATAATATTAAAATGTAGAATTCTGGTTTAGATTCTGAAGGGAGTAGACAACTCGGAAGACCTAGATGTCTCACTCACTCCAAGGTGCAGGAAATTCTTTGAAAAGTCGATTGTCGTATACTCGGCTTGACAATAAAATATACCTTAACGAAATTGGGTGTGAAGGTATTGGCTGGATTAATCGGACTCAGAACAGGGACCAGTTGCGAGCTCTTGTAAATACAGCAATGAAGCTTGAAATAACATAAAAATCGGGGAATTTCTTGACTGCCACATGGAGACTGTTGTTTGCATTTCATGGTCAGGAATAAGAAACAATTGAGTTTGGCACAGAAATTTCTTACGTTGCCATAACCGATCTTGATAAATTAATATCGCTCAGGTAGCCAAGCAATGTCACGCTTCTATGGAATTCGAAGTTTCAGTGGCTACCGTGTTCACAATAGCCAACACGGAACCCCGTTCTGTTCCAGTTGAATCCCGTCACAATTTCTTTAAGATTCACTTAAATATTTTCCTCCCATCTTCTTCTAGATTTCTGAGTGATTTTTCCCTTCAGAGTTTCCGATCCAAATTTTGAATCAGTTTTATATTTCCTATCAACGCGCCATTTGTCCACCCATTTCACCGTCCTTGGTTTGGTCAGCGATATAGTATGTGGTGAAGAGTATCCTGGGAGCTATGCAGTTTCTCATTTTGTAATTTTCTCCATCCTCTGGTCATTTCCTCTCTCTTAGATTCGTTATTCTCCTGGACTCCTCACACCCTCTTTTCATAGGAGTGAACGGTGATAAGCATTCCAAGAATTTATCTCATAATCTAGTAGAGTTTGAGGTTTTCACTGCCTTGAGTACGAAGATGCCTGTTTTCTGGGTTGTAGCGCCTTCGCCGTCAGGGCTCATCCCCCTGATTATGGAGGCAGCAAAGACCTCTCAAACGTTGGTAAACTGCTACCAGACTACACGGCGCTACACCACAGAAGACAGCCATCTTCTTCTCATAATTTCTTCGCGATTGAAATTTGATTCGTTTCTGGAAACATTCAATGAATTCGGATACTCTGTTAATAGAATTATGCATGTAAATGGTTGATTACTAAGTTGTATATTCCTGATAGCGTCGTTGTATCCTCTTTGTGTAGAGGTTTCAACACCGGCGAGGACCAAGTGTTGCTGGATGTGCACTTCAAACAGCCTACGGTAGTTCAATATCGCACTGACGTGGTGTTCGGCTGGCTCGACCTTACAGGTACGGACTCACTATGGGATGTCCACGGAACTCTGACGGATGGTCACTTGAAATTGACTAATTCTGAAATGGGAGTAAAGAGAGTGATGAGGATTTGACCGGGCGGAAGATACTGTTCAGTGTCTGACCGTGGTACAATGCATAGCAATAATGCATAGCATACTTTCGGTTTCTGCTACCAGAGAGTTTATTAGAGGGCGTAAGTTAAATGTATTTTTTACAATCTCAGTAACATTTCGTAATGGGATGATTATTTTTCATGAGTTTACACGAAACAGTTTTATACATCAAAAACTGTTAGATAATCCATGTCCCATGCGTCTGAGACGTTGTAATTTAAGAAAACAAGAAAATAGTAACAATTTCGCAGCACCGCCATGTTATTGTTGCTTTGATGGAAGTTTAAAAATACTAAGAAAGGAGGACTGATCATGCATTGTGACAACTAGCTTTCATAATTTCGAAATTCCTTCGTTACAACCACCGGCTAATTTTAAGTTAGACTTTCTACTTGTGGTAACCAATACTTTGCCCATGTTCTTTATCCACGAAAGTATAACGGGGTTCTGAAGAAGGGATTCTATACGTAATAAATAAATTCTAAAATGTAAACTTTGTGCTTGTTTCACTTAAACTGTGTTCGCGACTTGCAGAGATGTCGATGTCGACCACAGGGACTATCACGCAACCCACAGAAGCAGCTTTTGTGTCTGGGAGAGATTCTCTGTTGCAGATCTCGTGGTGGAATCAGCTCGTATTTGGATTTTGATCATTCCCACTTATCCAGATGTCGTTCCGAGCGCCGATGTAACTTCCAGTCCCCAAAATCAGAGACGTCGTAAGCTGTGAGTCAGACATTGCTATTCTCTTTTGCAGTGTCTCTAGGTGGTATTGCAGGTCTCTTCATTGGCTTCTCGTTGTTGAGTGGGGCAGAACTCGTTTACTTCCTGACGTTTCGGCTCTACGGTTTATGGAAGACAGAAAGAAACAACAGAATCAATCCCAAGACGAACCCACAACAACTGAAAATGAACCATCCAACGCAGCAGAATACAGTTCGCTTTTATAAACCAGAGGGCATGAAAACCTCGTTTAAAAAAGTAAAAAAAGTGTTGCCACAGGTATATTGATAGCTTGTACATATTTCATAGCAGCGTCGGTATAGAATATAGACAAGGTGTTATTGAAGCGACAGGGCTACAGATTTTAAACTAATGTAAATACAAAATAGGGAATTTGATTTCAACCAACTGATCTAGAACAGGCAAGACCAAGAAACCTCCCACATCGGAGGAGGCCAAGGCCCGATATGGGCTGCAGAGCCATTGGATGGATCGATCTAGAACAGGAGTGGGCAAACTACGGGCCGCGGGTAGGGAGCGGCCCTCAAATAATTAAATCCGGTCCGTAGCGATCTGAATATAAGCCTATTGTTAGTATAAAACCTTAATTAATTTTAATTATTCATATTGAATATAGAGGAAGCACTATTAAACGTAAAGTAACAAAATAGACAAGAATATAGATGTGAGATTTTAGTTCTGACTGCCGTGAGGACGAGGCCCATGTCTGGCGAGTTTAATCAATAGATAATTACTGTTTTCGTTTACTTCGTTTGTAAGTCGGAGTGAAGAAATCGGGTGGGGTCATTCCAGACTGTTTCATGTGTGTTCTAATATTGCCTTGAGAGAACACCGCTTAAGAGTAGACGATATTGTGTCCGAATTGTATCGCAGCCATGGCGAATGTTTATGTGTGTAGACGATATTGTGTCCGAATTGTATCTCAGCCATGGCGAATGTTTAAGTCGCAAGAAACGGAACTAGTGACCTCACCATTCTGTTACTTAGCCAGACACTAGTATCAGCGCTCTTGCGTAGATAATCACTGGTATTTGTTGATACAGCTCTTATTTAGGCTATATTTTGGTGAAAGGGCTATGCTATCTTTGAAATCATCGCAAATAATTAATCGATGTTTAAAAAATATTATGCAAGTGTGAAACGAAGTTGCAAAAAAGAAATTCGCCTGTTACATTCACCGTGCATGTCCGTTTCAAATGTCGGTATGTAATAAATCCAGAAATGGCGAATCAAATTTTCATACAATTTTATATTGGCAAGTTTTAGTAAAATTCGTCAACACATTCCAGTTTTGGTTAAAATCGGACAACGATAAATGGGTACTTTTAAATGCCCACACCTTGATCGTAACTCTCTAAATATTTAAAATGTTTAGAACAAGTTGTGCATAAATAGGAGATCACGTTATATCCGAGAAACTTTTCAGTGTGCATTACGGTTTTCGAAATAATTAAACATAAGTTGTTTTTAGGTTGTGCCATCTCAGATATAGGGAAGTACTGTGCGGATTTTGATCAAATTTTATCTCGGAGGCTCTTATTATTTCTTGTCGCCTGCTTTACGTAAATTATAAGAAGTAATCATTAAACAAGTATGCTTAGAGGTATCAACAGACAGAACCCTCCACAACTGGTACTCCTTGCATACATTCCTAACTACTTTAACTACATATTATTTCTCGCGAGGAATTTCTACCCACCGTCACTTCCAAACAGACGGACCCCTAAATAATATACATTTGCCCACCCCTGACTAGAGTTTGCATGGTTTTAATATTTACAATACAGAATACGTACAATGTAGTATTGTGGCAAATTTTGTCCTTCACATTTGCGCCAATAGGGAATTTGCATACAAAATATTCTTAAAGATAAAATAGGCAGAGTAAGCACTATGTATATTTATAGCTTTCGAGGCTTGTAAAACTGTAATTATAGGCCTGTTAATCAGTTATGTGTCTGTGTAGTGCGGTCTTACTGAAATAAAAATATATAGATAAGTATTATTGGTACAGGTAACGCCGATTTTAATCTTTCACATGCTTTAGAGGCGCCTTCGCTGTGTTCATAATTATTATTATTATTATCATCATCATAGTCACAATCATAATAGAACATTGCAATTTTGTACAGAGAAACTTGTAAATAAATAACCCCTCTAAAAGGTGTTTTTGTTCAATGTCTTCGCATTGAATAGTAATAGTGCATTTTCTTTTTATGGGTGTGTTTTATGTACCCCAATCCTCCCCACATCATCACCTACTGCAGTGGTTTCGAACCATCTCATCGAGAACCCTTGCCTGCAAACATTATTTTATGTAAAAATATTTAAAATATTAGTTGTACGTGAACCTTTGTCCCTTGTCACGTATTCACCTGGCCTAACCAATTTCAATGCAAATTAACTCTTACACGGCGATCTATAAACCATTTCGCTTCTGACAGGAAAGAAAGATACTAAAACATTATACCTCAAATAAAGAACTGAAAGTGGTAAGGAAAAGTACCATGCCATAAAAAGCAGATAGAACATCACCAAAAATGTTATTATTTTTGTTTATGAAGTTGCCTGGAAAATATATTAACACGTGTGTATTCAGTCACTTCACAATAAAGTAAAATATTTCACGTATTAGAAAATCGATCGATAGATCGATCGTTGTTCTACCACAAATGCCAGCGATCACGTAATTGGACCAAAGTAGCTTGTGTGACTATGTTGATATTTTGTTTGGACATTATCAAATGTGTTTTATGAAAAACAAACATTTCCAAAATGTATTACGTTCAGCAAAGTGGCTGTCTTTGTGTGCAGGAAGAAGATGCAATACCTGCTCTGTGAGGCCCAAACTCTTCCATGAGCTAAATCGTCAGCATCCAAACCTCAAATAATACTTTACTTAAGATGTAATTTTATGGTGGACTGAGAAAAACCTCTATTAATGTAGTCTGTCTCGAGTCGGGGCTCGAATAGAGGCATCTCTCTAAGGGTTCAAATTATTATAGTAACAACACTAATAACAAAGAAGATGAGTTGGTGTACTCTGAAAAATACACTACATTTCCATACGCGTTCTTCACGCCATATTACAGGCGTTGGTATTACCAGGGGATTAGAAGCACAGGGGTTTGCAGGCCTAGTGGCCAAGGCACGGATGAGGAGCCCCATGGGCAAAGCCCCTAAATGACGCAAACTAAAAGGGACATGGAGGAAAGAGGATGAGGAGCCCCATGGGCAAAGCCCCTGACGCAAACTAAAAGGGACAGGAAGGAAAGAACCCCACTGGGGCAAAACAGAGGTGGAATCCTGTGATTGACGCTGGGGTGCAGCCTCTCGCTTCGCCTCCTGGGAAGACAATGTGGGCGGCTACAGAATGTGTTCTTCGCTCACATTAGAACGTGAAAAACATCTAATGGACCTATTATTCAATCCAGTCCACTCATTAATGTCCTTGATAATAGCCAAACAAAGCAAATTATAGCCAAGTAATGAAAACAATAGTTTAAGACAAAACAAAACAATATACAAAGAACGTAATATATCAAGAAATAAAAACACGTTCCACATGTCAATATAAACCTACAGTATTTGGACAAATGACAGCTAAAAAAATCTAATTCTAAGTAACAGTCTTTGTTAAAATTGTCGTATGTTCTTGAAAATAGCGTCTGAGGCATTGATTTATGTTGATGTTGATAATGGCCAAGATACCACATGTACGCAAATTATCTTTAAATATCAGAATTGAATAAAGTGCTTCCTGTCACACAAAAATCTGTTCAGCTTGATAGAGCAATGTCACAAGACAGTTTTTATCGTTCTTATCTTGTAAATAAAATAACAAATAACAGCCCAGTCCCTACAAAATTACATGTTATTTTCATTAGAATTCATGGTTAGATTCTGTATCAGATATTAAACTCATATGGCAACAAAACCGAGTTCGCTGTCAACAGAAGCATGACCTCGGTTGTCAGATCAGATGACGGTAACAAAGTTTAACACAATCACCGTGGTTTAACTTTCAACATACGAAGAGTGTGATCCATGCCAAATTTTACCGAAGACTTTGTAATATTTAGGCCTGCCTAACTGCAAATTCTTACTTCCATCTGTCCATTATTTGTTGCATAAAATGTAAATATAAACATAGCCCAAGTCTCGCTTCGTTTACTGTGGCACCAGAATCATAAATCCCGCTACCAAATTTTGTCAAGAAACCTCATGTAGTTTTGAATGTAAAGAATGAAGGGTGGACTGACATGGCCTCAGTGTTATGCATTCACCTCCTATAAAAATAACGACTGTAGTGTAACCTCCAGTGTCATGACGTGCAGAGTTAAGTAATGAAGTGGTCATTTTTTTAAATGGATTTATTGGGACAGGCCATGGCACAGATATTTATGGAGGCAAGAAACAAACGTGATAGCCACGGAAAAGAAACAAATTATCATAGAAAGCCTGTACTCTGGGGGTAAGGTTGCTCAGTGAGGCTAATAAACGAACTGCCTGGTGCAAGATCTATCTTGAAAAGTTGACATTTGCGCTAATGACCAAAAAATTAGTTTATATGTAACGTAAATATTTACGACCTTCTTCATAAAAGTTCTTTCGTTGGCCTTTATCCTCAGTCGGATCAGTGTAAGTAGTCCATATATTTATAGCAAACCTCTTTGAATCATTTTAATATTATCCTCCCATTTATGCTTAGGTTTTCAGAGTGTCCGTTCTGAAAATCCGTCGGGCGTATCTCATTTAGGTTTTTATCGGTCAAGACACAACTTCGAATGAAGCTTAAATCAATGTTTTGCAGTCTTTTCCTTAAGAATTCGTTGTGCAAAATCGAATTTTGACATAAGACATACCATTACGGTACAAAGATTGTTTAAAAATATTAACGACTAGCAGTAACAGAAATATATTCACAATGAACTTATGTTCATAACTTCGGTAATACAAAATCACGAAATTCTCCCTCAAAAAATATTATACTTTGGACATTCATAAGTCCGCTGTTTCATAACAAATATCTGCACCTTTGGTTCGAGAAGGGTTGTAACAAGTTGTAAATAGTTATAAACAGAACAATATGTTGTGCAATATTTGAATGTTTTCAGATTTGACGCACTGTCGTGTCTTGGTATTATGCAAAGTTTCTCACCATGAAATACTTTGCACAAATAATACAAATAACGGAATAAATAAATAAATAAAGAAGCAGGAAGACGCAAGGGAAAGGAAGACTTGGAGTTGTAAACGGCTTTATCCCTTCCTGCCTCATCGGGAATCGATCAACAGCGAGGCACAAGTGTCCAGTAAAATGTCGTGTTGGATCCTGCCAGCCCACAGCTACAATTAATACTGTACTTACTCAGAAATCGGATACGTACGATTGTACAGCTGATCAAAAAGTCACTTAACCTGCATTATAAGCGCACAACATCGCTGTGACCACGCAAGAGCCAACTCCGGTCACGTCGTGTTATAACCTGTTCGCGCCAGTCCCGTCATTTGTCTTTCAGGAGCCGAAGTATAAGATGTCTTTTCCACAAACGCAACGAGTGTCAATTGTCGAACGCTACTTATCACCTCGTTCTTAATTATCTTGTCAGAATGAATTTAGGGACACACTTTCCGATTCTTCTGAGCCGAACAAATCGATATCTCGAATCGTTTCTGTGACACTCGCTCTCGACAACGCCAAACAT